AAATGTCAAGATACAAAAGTTTTAGCGTTTTTTCAAAATCTATTACAACAAAGACAAATTAAGTATACAGGGTCAGTCAAAAAGTTTTGACGAAACCAAGTTATGTTTTCTTTAATGAAACACCCTGTATATTATTCCATTTCGATTCATCTCGAAATTCTAAACAAAATTCATGTAACATATCGTAAACCTAAACTTAATCGTTTTCGAAATATTCAACTTTGACAATCGCTCTTATAAATTACACAAACATATTTCTGTCGATTATGTTCATAATTCCTTAAGGTACCTACCTTCGAAAGTTTCTTATCTCCATAGCAACGCAGTGACATAACACATATCAAAAATACAAAAATAGTTTAAATAATTTGCGCCCAAAAATGAAGTATGTAAATAATTAAATGCGTAAATTTTTAAAAGCTCGATATCTGGAAAACGGTTACGTTTAGGTGTATGAATTATGTATGAATAATATACTTAGTAACTTTGTTTCGTCATAATTTTTTGACTGACCCTGTATACTTAATTTATTATTAATTTACACTAAGACTTTTGTATCTTAACATTTTTCGCTAACTATCTTATTTTAAGAGATAATTGACCGTTTCCATAGATATAAGCGACCTGTATATTAATTAAGTCGAGGTCGCTTGCGAGCGAGGCGCTATATCGATGCCATATACAGTGTGTCCCCGGATTGTGTCCCCGTAAGGTATAATTGACGATAAATTTTTGAATTCAAATAAAATTCGGCATATCGCTATAATTTAACATAACAAACATTTTATCTTAATCAAGTTTTGTTGTACATTGCTCAGAAAGACCACTTTACCTGCAACGGTTAACAAACTTCTTGCGTTAATTTTGGTACTTTGATTATACCTTACGGGGACACACTGTAGACACAAAGGTATACAATTTTTAATAATTTATATACCAATATATGAATACTATACAAAAAAAACATGCTACATTGATACAATATTGATACAAAAGAAAAGTATACCATTTTCAAGGATATACAGACTGTCTCTGTAAGTCGTGCTGTAATTTTAATCACAAATACTTGAGTTAAAATGATGACGATTCTTATAAAAGTTTTTGGTCTAAACCCATAAAAGGCTAAGATATGAGCCTTCAAAATTAAGAAATGTTTAAATATTTTTAGTTTGTCGTAGAAAAATTAAATTTGGCAATTAATACAATATCATTATAAGAAATCGTTTTTGAAAATATGCAACCACGAGATCAATGCTATACAGGTGTTCACAAAGAATATTTCCTCAAAACTTTTTTATTATGTAAAACCTTACATTTTCCAACTGATTCTAAAAACCCATTTCATTCTAAAATTATTTGTACTCTTAGATATTTTTGATTAGACGAGTTAATCTCAAAATGATACAACCTCGATTTTGAAATGTTTTCGTAGGTGCCTATGAAAACAAATTGTAAGTAAAGCAACGACATAATGAAAAAGTTTTAAAGAATAAACTTTGCGAACACCTGTATAGCATTCATCCCGCGGTTGCTTATTTTTAAAACAGATTTTAAACGATTTCTTATGATAACATTATTTGCCAAATTTACGACAAACCATATTAAAAATACTTTGAAGGTTCATATCTTAACCTTTACTGACTTATAGAAACACCCTGTGTATATAAGGATGAGTTATTAACATCCAGACGATCGATAGTTACTAAATCGTTTGAGAAAGATAAAAAGTTTTATACAAAACCACTTTCTATAACGTACAATTATTTTCCTGTATACAGGGTGTTGCATTTAGGCGTAACGGCAAGTAAGTAATTTTTTTTTACATGAAACAACCTGTATATTTTATTATATATTAGCTTTATCCCAACTTGTTTAAGATTTAAATTTTTACGATACAATTTATTAATAAATTGCCAAAAATATATATGCGTCATATACAATAGCTAAAATACAAAGACAGAATTTTTAAGAGTGAATTTTTTAAAGAGTGAATCTCTGAATGGTCTCAAGGTCGGATTAACCTTGAGTTTTTTTCGATTCTTTTCGTGGAGGGGTGACTAATTTAAGGGGACCTTTTGGGTCCTCGTAAATTAACCGTTTGGCGTGTGGACAACTCTTGCCATTACGATATACAAATAGCATCAACCTATAGTTTATATTTAGAAATTGTTTTCTACTATTCTCAATAACCCAACTTCACTCTTATTCCATAAATAAAAAAAAAACTTTAACAAATTATAGAAAAAATTCAAAATGTAAGAGAAAAGAGATTTCTTTCCCATGAGATCCTCTACAATACCATAACTTAAAAAGGAAATATAAACGCTTTTGTAATCACCCAACTAGAACATTTTAAATTATGCATTTCTCTCACAAGCTATAATACGTAGCAATCTAAATTGGTGTACTTTTTCTTTCCCCGCGATGTAATGAGATAAATTTGAAATATAAAATCTAAAATGAAAAAGAGTCTTTGCTGCGATATGAAAGTTTATTTCCGTCCCCGTCTCGTTAAATGTGCAACGTCGAAACGCGTCTCCATCTCCAAGTGTGCCAAGCGGGTCACTAGAGAAGAGACACTACTCTTTTAATTGGACGCCTGCGGGCGGGACGCGAAGAGACGACGACAACGACAATAACAAAAAGAGAGAAGAGTAATGCTGTCTTGCAGAGAGAAAAGCCAGCAACAAAATCGGGTTGGGAGAGGTCGGAATTCGACTGCTGGCAGTTCGTCGTCGCGCAGGAACTGGTCCTGCTAAGGCAATCGCTACTAAGGCAAAGTGCCAAAGACGACTCCCTACCCGGGAAGAAGGATGAAACTCTCTTTCTTAAAAGTACCTTCGACGATGACCTTGGTTAAAGGCTAAACACCTGCCTTTCCATTTGTAAATCAGAATAATTTTTTTTCCAATCGTGAATCTCAAAATTTGCTAAGATTTTATTGATAATTTTTGGAGTCACAAATAAATTTGAATTTTTAGCCTTTAATCCAATTCAATAAAGGATTGGTATTGTTTCAATAAATAATGTTTTTAAAAAGTAACTAGAAAAAATTTAAATAAAGTAGCGCCACTTGTATATGTGAGATTATCAATGTGATCATGAGTAAGAAATTGTAGAGTAACCAGAATCTGGTGATTTTTAAAAAGTTACTTTTCATGTACCAACCTAATTTTTTTCCCCCCAGATTTAGGTCGGTTACTTTAGCATGACGTATAAGAAGTCTCATTCTTATACTACTTGATTTGGCCCTATTTTTGTACTTGAGTGGCACTTTGTTGGAAGTTGAGATGTACATTTTGTGACCCTAAGCATTTTGTACATTGGGATTTTGCTGTGTATTGATCAATGTAGTGTGAAAATTCGTATCATTTATTAAATTGTATCGAGAATCAAGCATTATCTAGTTTAAATCAAGTGTGTATAATCCTTTAAATACGGTATCTTGTTTTCTGGAAGCAATGTCTAGTCTTCTACAAACTGTATATAGTGTTGACAAGCAGTATTTGGTCTTCTGCAAGCAGTATATAATCTATTTCAAGCAGTATCTAGTATTCATTAAGCTCCGAAGTATGTATAATCCTTTGCATACAGTATCTAGTTTTCTGGAAGCAATATCTAGTCTTCTATAAACCGTATATAATGTTGTAGTAGCAGTATTTGGTCTTCTGGAAGCAGTATATAGTCTATTCCAAGCAGTATCTAGTCTCCGTCATGTTCCGAACTGTGTATAATCCTCTGCAACAGTTTCTAATTCCTTGCAAACAATATCTAGTCTTCTACAAACTATATATAATCTTCTGTTAGCAATATCTGGTCTTCTGCAAGTTATATATAATCTATTTTATGCAAAAAACTGCTTAAAAATAAAAAAATTGAGATTGGTAGCCTTTCGTATCATTATTAACGTAACTATTACTGCAAGTTTTTAGTTTAGTAATAATTTAAATTTTAAATAAATAATTTCATTAGTTTTTCTAAAAATTAGTTATTTCTAAATTTGATAAAATTGGGGTTGGTAGCCCTTTCTATCATTTCGATTTTTTGACAGAAACGGTTTCTTTTCAAGTTATAATTAATTTATTATTAATTTTCTAATTGTTAAGTGTTTTATATTGTTTGTTCTTCATAAATCGATTCTTTTTAGTAGCAACTCAGTAAGTAAATAGTTTTTATCGACTTGAAATTCTTTTCTAACATAACCTTGTTTTAATTAATTTTGGGTTGAGATTAAAATAAATTATCAAGATTTTTGGTTTTAATAACGTAACTATTACTTAAATTTTTTTAGTTTAGAAAAAATTTAAATTTTAAATAAATAATTTCATTAAAAATATTATATAGTTATTTTTAAATTTTATAAATTCAAGTTGGTAGCCCTTCCTATCATTACGATTTTTTGACAGAAACGGTTTCTTTTCAAGTTTTATTTAATTTATTATTAATTTTCTAGTTGTTAAGTGTTTTACATTGTTTATTCTTCATGAATCCTTTTTAGTTGCAACTTAGTAAGTAAATAGTTTTTATCGACTTGAAATTCTTTTCCAACATAACCTTGCTTTAATTAATCTTGGGTTGAGATTAAAATAAATTATCAAGATTTTTGGTTTTATTAACGTAATTATTACTTCAATTTTTTAATTTAGTAACAATTTAAATTTTAAACAAATAATTTCATTAAAAATGTTATATAGTTATTTTTAAATTTGATAAAATTCAAGTTGGTAGCCCTTCCTTTCATTTCAATTTTTTGACAGAAACGATTTCTTTTCAAGTTTTAACCAATGTATTATTAATTTTCTTATTGTTAAGTGATTTATATTGTTTGTTCTTCACGAATCGATCCCTTTTTAGTTGCAACTCAGTAAGTAAATAGTTTTTATCGACTTGAAATTCTTTTCTGAAATAATCTTTGCTTTAATTAATTTTGGGTTGAAATTAGCAAGATTTTGGTTCAATTTTTTAGTTTAATAATAATTTAAATTCGTTTCGATGTTTAGGAAAGAGGATGGGAATACAAACAAATAACAATAACGAGAGTTCCGGGTTATGGATTTGGGATCGCAGTATCCGGAGGCCGGGATAATCCGCATTTCGCATCGGGGGATCCCAGCATAGCCGTTAGCGACGTTTTGGCTTCTGGCCCAGCCGAAAGACTTCTTCAGTAAGTTTTCATCTTTAATTAATTCCTTAATTACGTAATCACCCAACATTTTCGTTTAATCCAGAGTAAACGATCGGATTATTTCTGTAAACGGCATCTCGTTACAAAACGTCGATTACGCCACCGCCGTTCAAGTCTTAAGAGATTCCGGAGACACGGTGATCTTAGTGGTTAAAAGAAGAATCGTTCAACACTCACACAGCGCTTCGTTCCCGGGGACTCCATTAGCCGCTTTAGGAATTAATCCTTTACCGCCGAAAGTTACTTTAACTAAAAATTCGAAAAAAGAAGGTAAAAAGGTTCAAATTCAAATAAATTTAATTCATTTTAATTTAATTTAAGATTTTGGAATAGTCCTTGGGTGCAAATTGTTCATAAAAGAAATCTCAGCAAAAGCCCGGGAGCAATTATTAAACACGAATCAAATGTTATCAGAAGGCGATTTCATCGTAAAATTAAACAACACTAATTGCAACGATTTGATGTCGTTGAAAGAGGCGAAAAAGATTATCGATGGTACGAAAGATAAACTTCATATAACTGTTAATCGGGATTTATCGTCAAATCAAAATGCGATTCATCAAATTCAAGGATCTTTAAGTACTACAGGTGATGATTTTTTGACTTCTGGGCAAAGTTATTCGAATCAAAACCTTTATGTTCAACCCCCGACGCGAAATCCAAATTTAAATAACGGTTTCGATGATAAAATGGATCTTCCAAGTGGCCCGAATTCCCTTAATGAAGATAAAAGTAATTTAGCACCTAGAGGGCGCCTTCGGGGACCTTTATCTCAAGACAATTTGAATCAACTTGATCGAAATAGTTATGGAAGATCAAAAGGGCGGGATGAACCTCCGAGACCACCCCCACCACGCCCTGAAGATTATTATAGTCGAGGGAGATTATATGATGAAGATCCAATTATTTTAAAAACTAAACAACAACCAATGTATTTTTAATTTTAATTAAATTTAATTTTGTATTATATAATTTTGATTTTAGCCCCGATGCAAGATTTATAACATTTCATAAAGAAGGTTCAGTTGGAATTCGATTAACCGGAGGAAATTTCGTTGGAATTTTCGTCACCGCGGTTCAACCCGGAAGTCCCGCTTCATTACAAGGCCTCCAACCCGGCGATAAAATCTTAAAAGTAAACGACATGGATATGTCGGGGGTTACCCGAGAAGAAGCGGTCCTATTTCTACTTAGTTTACAAGATCGAATCGAATTGATTGTGCAATATTGTAAAGAAGAATACGATTCTATCGTAGCATCCCAAAAAGGAGATAGCTTTTACATTAAAACTCACTTCCATTACGAAAATCCCGCGAAAGGGGAACTTTCGTTTAAATCTGGTGATATTTTCCATGTTATTGATACGCTTTATAACGGTGTTGTTGGATGTTGGCAAGTTTATAGGATCGGTACTCAATTTTTTTTGATTCTTTTAATCATTTTTAATAATTTTTAATGTTTTAGGTCCTAATAATCAAGAAATACAAAAAGGAATTGTCCCGAATAAATCCCGCGCGGAAGAATTGGCAACCGCGCAATTTAACGCCACTAAAAAGGAAATGTCAGCGAATGAATCGCGGGGTAACTTCTTTAGGAGACGAAGAAGTTCAAATAGACGATCTAAAAGTTTAGGAAAAGTAAAATTTTAATGTCTTAAGGAAGATATTGTTTTAAATGATTGGTTTTTTGTAGGAACATTGGGATGATATATTGTTCTCAGACACCGTTTCGAAATTCCCGGCTTACGAACGCGTCGTTTTGAAACATCCGGGTTTTACGAGACCCGTGATTTTGTTTGGGCCGATTGCTGATGTTGCTAGAGACAAATTGTTGAAGGATTTTCCGGATAAATTTATTTCTCCACGTAAGTAAAGTAACGATATTTAAACATATTTTATTAATAAATATAGGGTGAGTTATAACTAGGAAGAGATTTTCTTAAAAATGTTTTAATTTTTCTTAAATAACCATTAATAATCCAAACAAAGTTCTGGGAAACTTCGATTTTGTAAAATTGAGGTTGGTAGCCCTTCCTATCATTTCGATTTTTGACAGAAACGGTTTCTCTTCAAGTTTTAATTAATTTTCTAATTGTTAAGTATTTTGTATTGTTTATTCTTCATGAATCTATCCTTTTTAGCTGCAAAGTACTTAGTTTTTATCGACTTGATAAATAATTTTATTAATATTTCCCTAAAAATTAGTTATTTTCAAATTTGATAAAATTGAGGTTGGTAGCCCTTCCTATCATTTCGATTTTTTGACAGAAACGGTTTTTGTCAAGTTTTAATTAATTTATTATTAATTTTCTAATTGTTAAGTATTTTGTGTTGTTTATTCTTCATGAATCTATCCTTTTTAGCTGCAAAGTACTTAGTTTTTATCGACTTGACAAATAATTTTATTAATATTTCCCTAAAAATTAGTTATTTTCAAATTTGATAAAATTGAGGTTGGCTGCCCTTCCTATCATTTCGATTTTTTAACAAACGGTTTCTTTTCAAGTTTTAATTAACTTATTATTAATTTTCTAATTGTTGAGTATTTTATATTGTTTATTCTTCATGAATCGATCCTTTTTAGTTGCAACTCAGTAAGTAAATAGTTTTTATCGACTTGAAATTCTTTTCTAACATAACCTTGCTTTAATTAATCTTGGGTTGAGATTAAAACAAATTAGCAAGATTTTTGGTTTTATTAACGTAATTATTACTTAAATTTTTTAGTTTAATAATAATTTCAATTTTAATAAACAATTTCATTAATAATATTTCCCTAAAAAATAGTTATTTTCAAATTTGATAAAATTGAGGTTGGTAGCCCTTCCTATCATTTCGATTTTTTGACAGAAACGGTTTCTCTTCAAGTTTTAATTAATTTATTATTAATTTTCTCATTGTTAAGTGTTTTATATTGTTTATTCGTCATAAATCGGTTCTTTTTAGTTGCAACTCAGTAAGTACATAGTTTTTATCGACTTGAAATTCTTTTCTGAAATAATCTTTGCTTTAATTAATCTTGGATCAAGATTAAAACAAATTAGCAAGATTTTTGGTTTTATTAACGTAATTATTACTTAAATTTTTTAGTTTAATAACAATTTCAATTTTAAACAAATAATTTCATTAAAAATATTATATAGTTATTTTTAAATTTGATAAAATTGAGGTTGGTAGTCCTTCCTATCATTTCGATTTTTTGACAGAAACGGTTTCTTGTCAAGTTTTAATTAATTTGTTATTAATTTTCTAATTGTTAAGTGTTTTATATCGTTTATTCTTCACGAATCGATCCTTTTTTAGTTACAACTCAGTAAGTAAACAGTTTTTATCGACTTTTCTAAAATAATCTTTGTTTTAATTAATCCTCATTTATTATTTTTTGCAAAATGAGGTTAAAATCAAGATTGATGTATTGATAGCTTAAAGCGGCCCTTACACGATCAATAGTATTGACAATACAACCATCAATCCTCGTGGTAAACAGTCTGAATACTTCACTACCTTACACGATCAATATTATTTTACATTACTTTTTTACAACGAGCAGACTTTTTCCAATTATGGATAATCGTACAAAAGGTTATGTGCTATTATTTTGACGCTTGGAACTACTCTTCGAGTGACACGTAACGAATATTCTAGTACTGTTGCGATGTTGATGATTTCAAGAACTACTTTTGAATCTATGAAAGTACCTTTAACAAACTATTACAGATAGTTGAACCATTTTAAAAAAGACAAGATAGCAATATGAGAGAAAGTATAAGTGTTAGGGAGAGATTAGCCTTAACCCTAAAGAAATTTTAAAGACTTGAAGTTTTCTGTCATAATGCCCCAGCAAAATGGATTTTTTTGCCTAAACTTACTTGAGTCGCTGCTGCTTCTGTCGGATGCTGCTGTACTGGCTTCTCAAGAAAGGACAAAGCAAAAAACACCAATGAGGAGGTGTGTAAAGTTCGTCGGTGCTCTTTCCCGACCTCTTTGATGCGACAATCTTCTTCAATTCTTTTCTATAATTTGTTCGAAGACTGTTTATCTTTTTTTGACATCCTTTCTTTCGTTGGTCCCCGGCTTTATTCCCATTAGAAAAGATATGAGGCGGTCAAGAGTTGAATTTCTTTTCGCTTTGTTGGAATACATTGGGTTGGACGAATTCCACAGTTCTGGAGTCAATATGCTAAGGTATTGTCAATATTATTGATTGTGTAAGGGCCGCTTATGAGAAATAGAATAGAAATATTGTTAATAATAATACAAAATTATTTATTTATTAAAATTTTTAGAATTAGACAACAACACCGAAGAAAAAACCAAAAGCGGTTCAAACATAATCCGTTTATCGGCGATTCGAGAAGTAATCTCAACCGGAAAACACGCCTTATTGGATATAACACCAAACGCGGTGGAACGTTTAAATTATGCTCAATTATATCCCATTGTTGTATTTTTTAAAGCCGACGCTAAAATCGTAATTAAACAACTTCGACAAGGCTTACCTAAGTAAGTTATAAATTAATTTTTTCGCCTAATAATATTGATGTTTGTTATATTTATTTTTAGGTCAGCCCATAAAAGTTCAAAAAAACTTTTAGAGCAATGTCAAAAACTCGATAAAGTTTGGAGTCACATTTTTTGTTCAACCGTAACGTTAAACGATAATTCGGATACTTGGTATCGAAAAATTCGGGAAATTATTGATAAGCAACAAACCGGAGCTGTTTGGATGAGCGAAACGAAGGTAAAAAAAAATTAAAGACATCGCTAATTTCATTTTCGTAAATTTTTGGTGGTGGGTTAACAAATCCTTTCATTTCAGCTCAACTATGACATGTTTACGGATATTTATTTCCCATTCCTAACTTTAAAACCCCGAGCTAGATCACTTCCGGCTCATTACCGCGGTTCCCGTTCTTTAAAAACCCGTAGAATCAATCCGTGCGTTTCCATGTACAGTCCTTCGGAGTGCCCGATTCATCTTCAATCGATCGATTCTCAGAGTCGTTTAAGTTTGAACAGCGCCCCTTATCACCATCAATACCATTATCAACACGATCCCAACCCGTATTACAACCACAATCAGTCATACGCAAGTACTTTTTACAAATGTCGTGGTTTGCCTAAAACTAACGAATGTTTTAACGCTAATAATAATAATTATAACGATTTGGCTTTTATCAATACTAACCAAAAAACGTTTTTGGGTGCCGATAATAATAATGAATGCGAACATTATTATGATTATTTAAAACCGGTTGGGAAAGATGTTAATTTAAAGAAAAACGTTAATTTTGAGATTAACAATTTTGAAAGGAAAAGGTTAGGTTATGAAAAATTGTATCCAGTTCCGATTCGATTTGATTTAAAATCACAAATTATTCATGAAGAATTGTATGGGGATATTTAAATTTGATTCAATAACACATTTTTCTTTACTTAATTAATAAACAAATACAAAATAATTCTTAATAACCGAAATCGTCAAGTTTGAAGCATTTTAGTGAGGATAAATGATGTCTTATTTAAGTGTTGTTGTACGTTTAGTTCAATATCCAAGACATTAAATAAACGATTTTAATAATATCTCCGAGGTCGCTTGAAAAATTAAATCGAAATCGTCACTTTTCTAGCGATTTCTAGTTATTTTTAAATTTGATAAATTTGAGGTTGGTAGCCCTTCCTATCATTTCGATTTTTTGACAGAAGATGTTTCTTGTCAAGTTTTAATTAATTTATTATTAATTTTCTAATTGTTAAGTGTTTGATATTGTTTATTCTTCACGAATCGGTCCTTTTTAGTTGCAACTCAGTAAGTAAATAGTTTTTACGACTTGAAATTCTTTTCTGACATAGTCTTGCTTTAATTAATTAATCTTGAGTTGAGATTAAAACAAATTACCAAGATTTTTGGTTTTATTAACGTAATTATTACTTCAATTTTTTAGTTTAATAACAATTTCAATTTTAAACAAATAATTTCATTAAAAATATTATATAGTTATTTTTAAATTTGATAAAATTGAGGTTGGTAGTCCTTCCTATCATTTCGATTTTTTGACAGAAACGGTTTCTTGTCAAGTTTTAATTAATTTGTTATTAATTTTCTAATTGTTAAGTGTTTTATATCGTTTATTCTTCACGAATCGATCCTTTTTTAGTTACAACTCAGTAAGTAAACAGTTTTTATCGACTTTTCTAAAATAATCTTTGTTTTAATTAATCCTCATTTATTATTTTTTGCAAAATGAGGTTAAAATCAAGATTGATGTATTGATAGCTTAAAGCGGCCCTTACACGATCAATAGTATTGACAATACAACCATCAATCCTCGTGGTAAACAGTCTGAATACTTCACTACCTTACACGATCAATATTATTTTACATTACTTTTTTACAACGAGCAGACTTTTTCCAATTATGGATAATCGTACAAAAGGTTATGTGCTATTATTTTGACGCTTGGAACTACTCTTCGAGTGACACGTAACGAATATTCTAGTACTGTTGCGATGTTGATGATTTCAAGAACTACTTTTGAATCTATGAAAGTACCTTTAACAAACTATTACAGATAGTTGAACCATTTTAAAAAAGACAAGATAGCAATATGAGAGAAAGTATAAGTGTTAGGGAGAGATTAGCCTTAACCCTAAAGAAATTTTAAAGACTTGAAGTTTTCTGTCATAATGCCCCAGCAAAATGGATTTTTTTGCCTAAACTTACTTGAGTCGCTGCTGCTTCTGTCGGATGCTGCTGTACTGGCTTCTCAAGAAAGGACAAAGCAAAAAACACCAATGAGGAGGTGTGTAAAGTTCGTCGGTGCTCTTTCCCGACCTCTTTGATGCGACAATCTTCTTCAATTCTTTTCTATAATTTGTTCGAAGACTGTTTATCTTTTTTTGACATCCTTTCTTTCGTTGGTCCCCGGCTTTATTCCCATTAGAAAAGATATGAGGCGGTCAAGAGTTGAATTTCTTTTCGCTTTGTTGGAATACATTGGGTTGGACGAATTCCACAGTTCTGGAGTCAATATGCTAAGGTATTGTCAATATTATTGATTGTGTAAGGGCCGCTTATGAGAAATAGAATAGAAATATTGTTAATAATAATACAAAATTATTTATTTATTAAAATTTTTAGAATTAGACAACAACACCGAAGAAAAAACCAAAAGCGGTTCAAACATAATCCGTTTATCGGCGATTCGAGAAGTAATCTCAACCGGAAAACACGCCTTATTGGATATAACACCAAACGCGGTGGAACGTTTAAATTATGCTCAATTATATCCCATTGTTGTATTTTTTAAAGCCGACGCTAAAATCGTAATTAAACAACTTCGACAAGGCTTACCTAAGTAAGTTATAAATTAATTTTTTCGCCTAATAATATTGATGTTTGTTATATTTATTTTTAGGTCAGCCCATAAAAGTTCAAAAAAACTTTTAGAGCAATGTCAAAAACTCGATAAAGTTTGGAGTCACATTTTTTGTTCAACCGTAACGTTAAACGATAATTCGGATACTTGGTATCGAAAAATTCGGGAAATTATTGATAAGCAACAAACCGGAGCTGTTTGGATGAGCGAAACGAAGGTAAAAAAAAATTAAAGACATCGCTAATTTCATTTTCGTAAATTTTTGGTGGTGGGTTAACAAATCCTTTCATTTCAGCTCAACTATGACATGTTTACGGATATTTATTTCCCATTCCTAACTTTAAAACCCCGAGCTAGATCACTTCCGGCTCATTACCGCGGTTCCCGTTCTTTAAAAACCCGTAGAATCAATCCGTGCGTTTCCATGTACAGTCCTTCGGAGTGCCCGATTCATCTTCAATCGATCGATTCTCAGAGTCGTTTAAGTTTGAACAGCGCCCCTTATCACCATCAATACCATTATCAACACGATCCCAACCCGTATTACAACCACAATCAGTCATACGCAAGTACTTTTTACAAATGTCGTGGTTTGCCTAAAACTAACGAATGTTTTAACGCTAATAATAATAATTATAACGATTTGGCTTTTATCAATACTAACCAAAAAACGTTTTTGGGTGCCGATAATAATAATGAATGCGAACATTATTATGATTATTTAAAACCGGTTGGGAAAGATGTTAATTTAAAGAAAAACGTTAATTTTGAGATTAACAATTTTGAAAGGAAAAGGTTAGGTTATGAAAAATTGTATCCAGTTCCGATTCGATTTGATTTAAAATCACAAATTATTCATGAAGAATTGTATGGGGATATTTAAATTTGATTCAATAACACATTTTTCTTTACTTAATTAATAAACAAATACAAAATAATTCTTAATAACCGAAATCGTCAAGTTTGAAGCATTTTAGTGAGGATAAATGATGTCTTATTTAAGTGTTGTTGTACGTTTAGTTCAATATCCAAGACATTAAATAAACGATTTTAATAATATCTCCGAGGTCGCTTGAAAAATTAAATCAAAATCGTCACTTTTCTAGCGATTTCTAGTTATTTTTAAATTTGATAAATTTGAGGTTGGTAGCCCTTCCTATCATTTCGATTTTTTGACAGAAGATGTTTCTTGTCAAGTTTTAATTAATTTATTATTAATTTTCTAATTGTTAAGTGTTTGATATTGTTTATTCTTCACGAATCGGTCCTTTTTAGTTGCAACTCAGTAAGTAAATAGTTTTTACGACTTGAAATTCTTTTCTGACATAGTCTTGCTTTAATTAATTAATCTTGAGTTGAGATTAAAACAAATTACCAAGATTTTTGGTTTTATTAACGTAATTATTACTTCAATTTTTTAGTTTAATAACAATTTCAATTTTAAATAAATAATTTCATTAAAAATATTATATAGTTAATTTTAAATTTAATAAAATTCAAGTTGGTAGCCCTTCCTATCATTTCGATTTTTTGACAGAAACAGTTTCTTATCAAGTTTTAATTAATTTATTATTAATTTTCTAATTGTTAAGTGTTTTATATTGTTTATTCTTCATAAATCGATTCTTTTTAGTTGCAACGCAGTAAGTAAATAGTTTTTATCGACTTGAAATTCTTTTCTAACATAACCTTGCTTTAATTAATCTTGGCTTAAGATTAAAACAAATTAGCAAGATTTTTGGTTTTATTAACGCAATTATTACTTCAATTTTTTAGTTTAATAACAATTTCAATTTTAAACAAATAATTTCATTAAAAATATTATATAGTTATTTTTAAATTTGATAAAATTGAGGTTGGTAGCCCTTCCTATCATTACGATTTTTTGACAGAAGCGATTTCTTGTCAAGTTTTAATTAATTTATTATTAATTTTCTAATTGTTAACTGTTTTATATTGTTTATTCTTCACGAATCGATCCTTTTTAGTTGCAACTCAGTAAGTAAATAGTTTTTACGACTTGAAATTCTTTTCTGACATAATCTTGCTTTAATTAATTAATCTTGGGTTGAGATTAAAACAAATTATCAAGATTTTTGGTTTTACTAACGTAATTACTACTTCAATTTAAATTTAATTCAATTCAAGTTTAATAACAATTTAAATTTTAAATAAATAATTTCATTAAAAATATTATATAGTTATTTTTAAATTTAATAAAATTAAGGTTGGTAGCGCTTCCTGTCATTTCGATTTTTTGACAGAAACGATTTCTTGTCAAGTTTTAATTCATTATTAATTATCTAATTATTAAGTGCTTTATTATGTTTCTTTTTCACGAATCGATTCTTTTTAGTTGCAACTCAGTAAGTAAATAGTTTTTATCGACTTTAATTATTTCTAATTTTAAATATTTTATATTGTTTACAGTTTTATGTGATTTTAAACTACCAACCAAATTTCAAACATTTTGAATAGTTTTGCAACGTTGTAGGTTTGTTTTGAACTGTTAGATGCAGTTTTATACGATTTTGAACAACTTGGTATGGATATAAATCATATTAACAAGTTTCAAAACGTTATCAATCAATTTTCAATTAATTTAAACAATTTCGCTATGTTGTAGGTTTGTTTTAATCATCTGTAAATGCAGCTTTATATAATTTTGAACAACTTGAAATGGATATAAATCATTTTACAATCAATTAGACAAGTTTCCAAACTTCACCAACCAACTTTCAATCATTTTGAACAATTTTACATTGTTATAGGTTTGCTTTGAATATCATTAGATGCAGTTTTATATGATTTTGAACAACTTGGAATGGATATAAATCATTTTGATAAGTTTTCAAACATCACCAACCAAATTTTAATCATTTTGAATACTTTTGCAACGTTGTAGGTTTGTTTTAATCATCGTTAGATGCAATTTAATATAATTTTGAACAATTTGGAATGGATATAAATCATTTTATAATCAATTAGACAAGTTTCCAAACTTCACCAACCAACTTGCAATCATTTTGAACAATTTTGCATTGTTATAGGTTTGCTTTGAATATCATTAGATGCAGTTTTATATGATTTTGAACAACTTGGAATGGATATAAATCATTTTGACAAGTTTTCGAACATCACGAAACAAATTTCAGTCATTTTAAATACTTTTGCAACGTTGTAGGTTTGTTTTAATCATCGTTAGATGCAGTTTTATATAATTTTGAACAACTTGAAATGGATATAAATCATTTTACAATCAATTAGACAAGTTTCCAATGAACCTGGAGTAGTTATGAACATGTTCTCAATCATTTAGACAACTTTCCAATGCTTAGCAATCATATTTCCGGGATTTTGAACAACTTGGAATAGCTATAAACTTGCACCCAATGATTTAGGCAAACTTTCAGTAATTAGTATCAAGTTTTTAATTATTATGAACAACATAAAATACCTATGAGGTACTTCCTAATCATTTAGACAAGTTTTGGAATAACTTAAAATCAGTTCTTAAACAATTTCATTAATAATATTTCCCTAAAAAATTAGTTATTTTTAAATTTGATAAAATTGAGGTTGGTAGCCCTTCCTATCATTTTGATTTTTTGACAGATACGGTTTCTTTTTAAGTTTTAATTAATTTATTATTAATTTTCTCATTGTTAAGTGTTTTATATTATTTATTCTTCTTGAATTGAGCCTTTTTAGTTGCAAATCAGTAAGTACATACAGCGACCTCGGCGATTTGATGCGAAATCGTACCTTGAAAAGAAAAGATTAGGTTATGAAAAATTGTGTGGGGTTAATTTATATTAAATTAATAGCTTTTCCCTAAATGTATATAACTCAAAATAATCCTTAACCCATTTATTTCATTCATTGTTTTTATTTTTTTTGTTTGAATTAATTGACCTTTCATATAATCGAGCTTTTATGCATTGTAAATTTTAGCCCGAGGAGTCATTATCTGATGACTTCCTCTTCCCAATGTCGTCATTGCGTCTTTCGTATGCTAGTTCACCCGAAAGCGATCTAGAACACAGTCCGGGACCCCCCGTTTCACCCGGATTGTCCGGTACCGGAAGCAATAACGGCCGTTTAACTAAAGCCAGTTCAGATCCGAGCGTCGTAATGCCCGATAGCAGCACTAATGATGTTCTTCCACCATATCAAGTAACAATCATCTTCGAACTTTAATAAAAAAATAAAATAATTAACAAAAATTTATTTTTAGCCAACTTATGACACAAGATATGGTTTTAACAACCAAAATTCAAGCGAACCTCAATCACCGAGCTCCACAGCTAAAGATATTAATTATATCCAACAAAGTGATTCGCAGGAAATGTTATCGGGCGATTTAACCGGGTATAAAGGACATTATCCGGGGCAAGATTATAATAAAAATGACGGAGCGGCGCATAAAAGACAATCGAGTACATTACACGGACATTTTAATCATTCGAAAACTTTGAGTATGAGTGAACAACCGATTTCGCCTACAGGAAGGGAGGGGATTTATGGAACCGCTCCTGATTTACCCCCGAGGGTTGATAGAGCTGTTAAACCTTTAGGGTTGATTTCAACACCAACAAAATCAAATGGGTAAGAAATAATTGTATCTAAATTGATAATAATAATAAAATTGTTGATTTTTAGGCCATCTGCGCATGAAAGACTTTTTGGAACTAAACCTCCCGATCAAAATCCGGATCATAATTTCGCGAATAAATTAGGATCGTTGGAGAGGAGTCAGAATTCGAAATCTGTGAGTAAATTCTTAATCTAGATAAAAAAACAACAAAAACGTCAAAATTTGGTTTCATTTTTAAGTTGGGTTGGTACTACTAATCGATGGAATAAAATAACTTATTGGATATGTTTTATGGGTTAATTCTAAATCTTTTTTGTATGAAAAATTTTTTTCCATCAGATATAATTAATGAGTTATGAAAGAAAATTGATAAAAACGTCAAAATATCTATTTCTCTTACGTTGGGTTGGTAATGCTGATTGATGGAATAAATATCTTTATTCAATACGTCTTATGAGTCAATTCTAAACATTTTTTGTTTAAAAAATAATTCTCCATCATGCACAATTAATAAGTTATAACCGAAAATGATCAAAAACATCAAAATTTGGTTTTATTTTTGAGTTGGGTTGGTACTACTGTGCTAGTGTAAAACTAGAACTAACACTAGACTAGAACTAGAAATATTCAAACTTAAATTATCTTTGAATATTTGACATGATGAGAATATAGTTACCAACGTACATTTTTAGACTTTTTGCGACAGATGGCGCTATCTCCTATGCGTCTTTATCAAGTGTCATTTTTTGACGTTTCATTAAAAAAATATAAATTCAGTGATTTTGCGTTAGAAATAAAACTAAAACTAGAAATTTTATGCGTTAAAGACGCACGGCATAACCTCAAAATTTTTAGTTTTAGTTTTATTTCTTATTACATCGGTAAAAAAGTGTACGAAAATGTTGTGAATAGAATAATTTTTTGTTTAAAAGTTTTTGACATGCCATGGTCAATTTAATTTAATTTTTTAGGACTTTCTAAAGGTTTGACATTAAAAAAACATAAACAAATTCTTTTTTGATATGATTTAAGCATAAATTAATTAATTTTCGTAAAAAAAGTTTCATAAAATTGACATTTAATTTTGACAAGTAGTTGTGAAGTTAGTTACAGTTGGTAACATTGAATTAATGTCACATTGACGTTTAAACTTTAATCAAAATTTATTTTTTTAAGGACTCTTTATCAAGTTACGACTCATTCAACAATCAAAACTCAAAATCCCTTGGAAGTCGAATAATCCCAAACGCCCACGACGACTTAAAAACGACATTATCAAAAATAGAACCATCATCGAACAGTCCCAACATTCAAAACAGCCCGTCAAAATACGCTCATCAAAGATCATGGGGGGGGGATCAAAACCATCATCGACACGATCGTCTCGGATCAAAATTAGATCTAAAATACGCCGTCCCCCCTTCAAACAACGAATTAATGGATCAAAGCCCGCGTCATTCCCGCGGTGACGTCGAAAAAGAACCACCACCTCCCGGTTTGGAGCACGTCCATCAAAGATTACCCCCCGAACGGAACGAAATGTATCGATACGCTCGATCGCCTGGAAAACAACAATTAACTCCTTCCAAGCAACCCCACATGGAGACAAAAACCGATTATGGGAAATATAATCAAGATTATTCAAGGGCTTCACAACAAGATTTGTCACAATCCCATTTAAGTATTCACCAATCGCCGCAACAACAACATTTACACCATCACGGTGGGGGACAAATGATGAGGAACGGGGGAGGGATGGAGAATGGAAACAATCATATGAATCAAAATGGACCGAATATGTACAAACCGATTCCTCCGCCGAAACCGAAAAATTATAAACCTCCGTATAAGAATCAAAGTTATGGTCCTGGAGATGGGATGATGCAACCTCCTTTACCATATCAACATGGAAAGAGTCATAGTAACCCCGTTGTGAGTATTTATACAAAAAAAAATAATAAAAGATTATTAATAAAAAATTAATTTAGGATCAACGTGCTAATTTACACCAAGAATATTATTACAACATGCCGCAAAACAACGTCTTACAAAATAATTGGCACACTGAGACCGCGGTTCGTTACAACACAAACGTTCATGGTCATTATGATGTGGCCCCACCGTACGAAAGGCGCCATCCGAGTATTTCATACGCTTCCCGCAGCGAAATCGCCCCAATCTCACAACATGACCCTTACATGGACGGAAATGAGATGATGGACACAAGACCGGAAAGACCCAACATCGTTGATTTGCAAGGATCGCGAGAACAGCGAGGAAGCGCGTTCGAGCTGTATCGGAAACCTTTGCATCATAATTTAAGGTAATTTCTTTTGAATTTTTAAGTTATCATGATTTTTGTATGTATGTACACTGGTTGTTTTTTTAATTTAATTGTTTTTAATGTTGATGTTTAATTTTGCCTTGTATTTATTAGGATCCTGCATTATTTCGAAGTGTAGTTTTTTTTTGTAAGTAGATGTTTTTGAGTTGGGTTGATTTAAACATATTGATGCATGTTTAATATTTTTTGTTTTGTTTTTGGTTGTATTCGTTTTAATTAATTAATTATGGTAAATCCTTGATTTCCGGATTTTTTATTCATAACTACGTTATTGTTGATTTTATTAAGCAAAATCGTTAAATTTTGACATTTTGCGATTTATGCTACNTTAATTAATTATGGTAAATCCTTGATTTCCGGATTTTTTATTCATAACTACGTTATTGTTGATTTTATTAAGCAAAATCGTTAAATTTTGACATTTTGCGATTTATACTTCATCATTAGAAACCGGGGATAGATAAATATGATATAATTATGGATTATGATTTCTTGATGCACTAGGAACATTTTTTATCCACAACGTTTTTCTCCATCAGTTTTAGTACTTCCGTCATAGTTGATTTTATTAAGCAAAGTCGTTCAATTTTGACATTTTGCGATTTATGCTACATCATTAGAAACCGGTGATAGATAAATGTGATATAATTATGGATTATGATTTCTTGGTACATTAGGAACATTTTTTATCCATAACGTTTTTCTCCATCAGTTTTAGTACTTCCATCATACTTGATTTTATTAAGAAAAATCGTCTAATTTTGACATTTTGTCGTTTATGCTACATCACTAGAAACCGGTGATAGATGAATATGATATAATTATGAATTATGATTTCTTGATGCATTAGGAACATTTTTTATCCATAACGTTTTTCTCCATTAGTCTTAGTACTTCCCTCATAGTTGATTTTATTAAGAAAAATCGTCGAATCTTTATATTTTATGATTTATGCTACATTATTAGAAACCGGTAATAGATACATATGAAATAATTATGGATTAAGATTTCTTGGTGCATTAGGAACATTTTTTATCCATAACGTTTTTCTCCATAAGTTTTAGTACTTCCGTCATAGTTGAATTTATTAAGAAAAATCGTCCAAACTTGATATTTTATAATTTATGCTACATCACTAGAAACCGGTGATAGATAACTATGATATAATTATGGATTATGATTTCTTGGTGCAGTAGGAACATTTTTTATCCATAACGTTTTTCTCCATCAGTTTTAGTACTTCCGTCATAGTTGAATTTATTAAGAAAAATCGTCCAATCTTGATATTTTATGATTTATGCTACATCACTAGAAACCGGTGATAGATAACTATGATATAATTATGGATTATGATTTCTTGATGCATTAGGAACATTTTTTATCCATAACGTTTTTCTCCATCAGTTTTAGTACTTCCGTCATAGTTGAATTTATTAAGAAAAATCGTCCAATCTTGATATTTTATGATTTATGCTACATCACTAGAAACCGGTGATAGATAACTATGATATAATTATGGATTATGATTTCTTGATGCATTAGGAACATTTTTTATCCATAACGTTTTTCTCCATCAGTTTTAGTACTTCCGTCATAGTTGAATTTATTAAGAAAAATCGTCCAATCTTGATATTTTATGATTTATGCTACATCACTAGAAACCGGTGATAGATAACTATGATATAATTATGGATTATGATTTCTTGATGCATTAGGAACATTTTTTATCCATAACGTTTTTCTCCATCAGTTTTAGTACTTCCGTCATAGTTGAATTTATTAAGAAAAATCGTCCAATCTTGATATTTTATGATTTATGCTACATCACTAGAAACCGGTGATAGATAACTATGATATAATTATGGATTATGATTTCTTGATGCATTAGGAACATTTTTTATCCATAACGTTTTTCTCCATCAGTTTTAGTACTTCCGTCATAGTTGAATTTATTAAGAAAAATCGTCCAATCTTGATATTTTATGATTTATGCTACATCACTAGAAACCGGTGATAGATAACTATGATATAATTATGGATTATGATTTCTTGATGCATTAGGAACATTTTTTATCCATAACGTTTTTCTCCATCAGTTTTAGTACTTCCGTCATAGTTGAATTTATTAAGAAAAATCGTCCAATCTTGATATTTTATGATTTATGCTACATCACTAGAAACCGGTGATAGATAACTATGATATAATTATGGATTATGATTTCTTGATGCATTAGGAACATTTTTTATCCATAACGTTTTTCTCCATCAGTTTTAGTACTTCCGTCATAGTTGAATTTATTAAGAAAAATCGTCCAATCTTGATATTTTATGATTTATGCTACATCACTAGAAACCGGTGATAGATAACTATGATATAATTATGGATTATGATTTCTTGATGCATTAGGAACATTTTTTATCCATAACGTTTTTCTCCATCAGTTTTAGTACTTCCGTCATAGTTGAATTTATTAAGAAAAATCGTCCAATCTTGATATTTTATGATTTATGCTACATCACTAGAAACCGGTGATAGATAACTATGATATAATTATGGATTATGATTTCTTGATGCATTAGGAACATTTTTTATCCATAACGTTTTTCTCCATCAGTTTTAGTACTTCCGTCATAGTTGATTTTATTAAGAAAAATCGTCCAATCTTGATATTTTATGATTTATGTTACATCACTAGAAACCGGTGATAGATAAATATGATATAATTATGAATTATGATTTCTTGATGCATTAGGAACATTTTTTATCCATAACGTTTTTCTCCATCAGTTTTAGTACTTCCGTCATAGTTGATTTTATTAAGAAAAATCGTCCAATCTTGATATTTTATGATTTATGTTACATCACTAGAAACCGGTGATAGATAAATATGATATAATTATGAATTATGATTTCTTGGTGCATTAGGAACATTTTTTATCCATAACGTTTTTCTCTATCAGTTTTAGTACTTTCGTCAGAGTTGAATTTATTAGGAAAAATCGTCCAATCTTGATATTTTATAATTTATGCTACATCACTAGAAACCGGTGATAGATGAATATGATATAATTATGAATTATGATTTCTTGATGCATTAGGAACATTTTTTATCCATAACGTTTTTCTCCATTAGTCTTAGTACTTCCGTCATAGTTGATTTTATTAAGAAAAATCGTCAAATCTTGATATTTTATGATTTGTGTTACATCACTAGAAACCGGTGATAGATAACTATGATATAATTATAGATTATGATTTCTTGATGCATTAGGAACATTTTTTTATCTATAACATTTTTCTCCATCAGTTTTAGTACTTTTGTTATAATTGATTTTATTAAGAAAAATCGTCCAATCTTGATATTTTATGATTTCTGCTACATCACTAGAATCCGGTGATAGATAAATATGAAATAAGTATAGATTATGATTTCTTGCTACATTAGGAATATTTTTTATTCATAACGTTTTTCTCCATCAGTTTTAGTAATTCCGTCATAGTTGATTTTATTAAGAAAAATCGTCCAATCTTGATATTTTATGATTTATGCTTCATCATTAGAAACCGGGGATAGATAAATATGATATAATTATGGATTATGATTTCTTGATGCACTAGGAACATTTTTTATCCATAACGTTTTTCTCCATTAATCTTAGTACTTCCGTCATAGTTGATTTTATTAAGAAAAATCATCCAATCTTGATATTTTATGATTTATGCTTCATCATTAGAAACCGGGGATAGATAAATATGATATAATTATGGATTATGATTTCTTGATGCATTAGGAACCTTTTTTATCCATAACGTTTTTCTCCATCAGTTTTAGTACTTTTGTTATAATTGATTTTATTAAGAAAAATCGTCTAATCTTGATATTTTATGATTTATGCTTCATCATTAGAAACCGGGTATAGATAAATATGATATAATTATGGATTATGATTTCTTGATGCACTAGGAACATTTTTTATCTATAACGTTTTTTCCGTCAGTTTTAGTACTTCTGTCATAGTTGATTTTATTAAGAAAAATCGTCCAATATTGATATTTTGAGGATTTATGTAACATAACTAGAATCCGGTGATAGATAAATATGAAATAAGTATAGATTATGATTTCTTAATGCATTAGGAACCTTTTTTATCCATAACGTTTTTCTCCATCAGTTTTAGTACTTCCGTCATAGTGGATTTTATTATGAAAAGTCGTCCAATTTTGACATTTTGTGATTTATGCCACATCACTAGAAACCGGTGATAGATAAATTTGAAAGAAGCATACATTATGATTTCTTGATGCATTAAGGGCCGGTTGTACCAACTCCCGATAAATTTATCCGATAGATAAATTGGCGCACTAAGGGCCGGTTTTACAAAAGTAGACGTTGACCGCCGGTTATCAAACCTCCGGTTGAGCAGTTAACCGAAGGTTGAACATCGATACGTTTTATGATAGGATTTTAACCTCCGGTTTATTAGCTTGCCGTCAACCGGCCGCGGTCAATGTTGGCTGCACTGCGCGCCAGCTCTCAACCAATGAAATGCGTGCATTCGAAAACGTACAGATACGCGTGTTTACGTTAACCTAACCTAGCTTTCGACGTAGATCATTTTGCGAGCGATTATTTTATTATTTTTTTTATTTTATTAATTTATTTTTTTTTTGCGATATAAAATAATTCTCTTTATATAATTAAAAACAAATTGGATTTTGTACAAATTTTATTTTTTATTAAGTTCTTTTTTTAACAATTCTATTCTTAAACGCCCGGTTGATGACAACTTTCATGACAGATCATGACAACTTTGTGAAGTTCTGCGCATGTGCGTATATCANCCTTGCTTCGCGAGGTTGGTTAGTCCGCTTATCCCATATGTAATCTATGTAATGTAATGTAATATATATTGTTATTATCGTATTGTTCGTATATTTCATATTATATAATACTCCTAACAATAAATAAATTATTTTGTCATCACTATGCCATCCGTATGGGTGACCTGGATTATTTATTTGGTTTGACAATGAACAGATGACACTATGCTATTGATTTTAATATTATTTTTGAATTTATTTAATATATTAAAAATAATGATTATCATCAATAATGAAAAAATAAAAAAAAAATAAAGCGAACAACAAGGATTGAACCTGCGACCTTGGGCATCCAAAGCCCCACTCACGCCACTCGGCTAATCGGCATTATGAACGACGCTACAATTTACCGCATTTCTATTGTTGCGAAATATTTTGAAAATTTTGAAATCGATTTTCTCGGATATTTTCCAGCATGGGATCGAACTGCTTCAGGAAAATGATGTCCGAGTACTGATCTTCAATCCCTATGAATATGAACAAAATCGGTGATGACGAACCCGTAAGGTCCCCTCGTGAGANCGGATATTTTACATATTCTAGAAGCAAAAAATTTTCAAAAATTAAAATTACAATTTTAAAGCAAAGGTAATGCCTTTTTGTAATCGCGTAACTTTTTTTGCTACTGCCAAATTTGAATTGTGTGTACTCATCGTGTTCCCTAAGTCATTTTGAACATCTTAGAAACAAATAAAATTAAAATTACGAATTTTGAAGTTAAGGGACCAAGTGGTTTTGTCATTGCCAAAATTGGAATGTGTGTATTAGTCGTGTCACAAAGAATATTTTACATATTCTAGAAGCAAAAAATTTTCAAAAATTAAGATTACAATTTTATGCGTTTTTGCAATCGCGTATTTTTTTTTGCTATTACCAAATTTGCTAGACCTGAAAGTGTTAATTCTTGTTTTACTTATTAAATTGTTACATCGAAATTTGACTATAATTGAAATATTCCTTGATTTTTTTGTAATAATAAAACAAAAAACAAAAAATGTCAAATATAAATTATTTGACATTGAATTTTGGTGATGTAAAAATTCGCGTGTAAATTTCTCAGTTCGGGTGGGAAGGGAACAAAGAGTGTAAGAATAAAAACTCGGGAATTAAATTTTAGTGAATCACCATGCCTAGAATTACATTCTCCACCGGATTTTCCGGGTTATCAAGATTATCGAACTCCTCGTGTTTGTCTTTTATGAAATTTAAAAACCCCACGGGCGTTTTTCGGAGAAGAAGCATGATGGAGACTTTTTGTAATCTAGCTGCAACTTATTATTTTGTAAGTTTTTTTCCCCATCAAACAGTTAAAGTAAATTAAATTAATTTTTTTATAGATAATTGACGCAATTTTATTTGGTTTCTTTTCGTATAACGCATATTACAATCGAGACAAAGTAGTTTGGTTAAAATCACAATTCGGATTACAATTTGGCGTAACTTTAGGTTTGCGGATGTATTTGGTGCCGTTAATTCTCTCTTTGTTTTTATTAACAAGCGATATTTTTTTGATTATTGGATTAATGATGGTAAACTTTAACGTAGTAACAAAAACGAAGATTAAACAAACATTTTTTTAGGAAAAATCTAAATATATTTGGCCATCGATTTTAATTCACGCTGGGAAATGTCTTCTTACCACAACTGCCTTGATCATTCTTCATTTACATTTGCCCCAAATCAATACTGTTTTAACGACAGCTTTAGGATCATCAATCCCAATAATAACTGTTATGAATGTTGCTTGTGGTATTCTCACCCTGGAAATTGTGTTATGGTTGGTGACATTTTCACAATTTAAACGAATATCTAAGAATGAAGAATGAAATAAATCGTGTTTTTTGCTTTTTATTGTTGAATTGGTTAATAAACAAATTTTAAATTAATGGGGAAATTTTGTTATTATATTTGGGAGGATTTAATCCATTAAAATAAGACCTATTTTGGCTTTCCAAAAGGGTTAATGAAAAATTCTACATAGTATTCCTTATAAAACATTGATTGTTATGTTATAACTGACATTTTTATTGCCCCCAATTCATCTTCAATATTTGTGGCTTGCAGGTAGTTTTTGGTAGCAAATACAAAATTTGTTGCCTCATTTAAAAAGCTCCAACAATCACTAAAATCTTCTTAAAACTTGTTAATATTAACCACACCAAATCCATAATTTTAATTACTCTTCTTTTATTATTAAAATTGATCCTTGGTGAGGATCGAAAAGTTAATTTTAGAGGTTTTTTCTTAATATCTCAATAATCACTTTATGTATCCTCAAAAATTATTCTTCTGGGTTCTCATTGATTGCTCCACATACAAATTTAGCCTCTCAATGAAGTGTTACTTCGATTTTGCGACGAAGTTATCCAAAATTGTGGTATCTAAAATGTTTAATTATATATGTATAAATTATTGAATTACACATTCTATTGCGTTTTACCTTTTTACCCGTTCATTTAATGCGATTCATTTAATACCACGTCCAATTAAATCCTCTAAATCGCATTTATCAAGTTTTTCTTGCAACAAAGAAAGTTAGGTTAGGTTGTTTTTAATTGAGGATTGAGGTTAGGTTGTAGTGAAATTGGAAAGGGTTGTTTTTACCGTTATTCAGAACAAGTTTTGGTCGTCTTTATTTTGTTGCTTTATCTTTTTATTTGTTGGGAAGTTAAAAAAGTAAAAACCATCAATAATTTAATTATTATTAAAAATTAATTAATTTTAAATCGGATAAAATTCAAGTTGGTAGCCCTTCCTATCATTTCGATGTTTTGACAGAAACTGTTTCTTATCAAATTTTAATTAATTTATTATTAATTATCTAATTGTTAAGTGATTTATATTGTTTATTCTTCACGAATCGATCCTTTTTTAGTTGCAACGCAGTAAGTACATAGTTTTTATCGACTTGAAATTCTTTTCTAAAATAACCTTCCCTTTAATTAATCTTGGGTTGAGATTAAAACAAATTATCAAGATTTTTGGTTTTATTAATGTAATTATTACTTCAATTTGTTAGTTTAATAACAATTTAAACTATAAATAAACAATTTCATTAATAATATTTCCCTAAAAATTAGTTATTTTTAAATTTGATAAAATTGGGGTTGGCAGCCCTTCCTATCATTTCGATGTTTTGACAGAAACGGTTTCTTATCAAATTTTAATTAATTTTCTAATTGTTAAGTGGTTTATAGTGTTTTTTCTTCATAAATCGATTCTTTTTAGTTGCAACTCAGTAAGTAAATAGATTTTATCGACTTGAAATTCTTTTCTAAAATAACCTTCCCCTTAATTAATCTTGGGTTGAGATTAAAACAAATTATCAAGATTTTTGGTTTTATTAACGTAATTATTACTTCAATTTGTTAGTTTAATAACAATTTCAATTTTAAATAAATAATTTCATTAAAAATATTATATAGTTAATTTTAAATTTAATAAAACTGAGGTTGGTAGCCCTTCCTATCATTTCGATGTTTTGACAGAAACGGTTTCTTATCAAGTTTTAATTAATTTATTATTAATTATCTAATTGTTAAGTGTTTTATATTGTTTATTCTTCACGAATCGATCCTTTTTTAGTTGCAACGCAGTAAGTACATAGTTTTTATCGACTTGAAATTCTTTTCTAAAATAACCTTCCCTTTAATTAATCTTGGGTTGAAATTAAAACAAATTATCAAGTTTTTTGGTTTTATTAACGTAATTATTACTTCAATTTTTTAGTTTAATAATTTAAATTTTAAACAAATAATTTCATTAAAAATATTACATAGTTATTTTTAAATTCGATAAAATTCAAGTTGGTAGCCCTTCCTTTCATTCCAATTTTTTGACAGAAGCATTTTGACATTGACACAAACTTGCAATTCCTTATATTTTTGAGCATCTTGACTGGATTATGTTTAAAACCGATTAAAAAAAAATTGATTTAGTTTATTAAATTTTTTCTTCTTAGCTCAAGGTTAGAAGACACTAAATCCTCTTTGTTCGGATCACAACCTAACATCACTCATCTCTTAGAATCCCATCATCAACATTCTTCACCCACGAACACTAACAAAACCAAAAAGCTCTCAAAAACACAATCGTTCAAACACCAAAAAGGCGGCGAAACGACGCCGAAATTCTTCAAGAAGTTCTCGTTTCGCAACAAGACCAAAGAGACGACCCCGAAAATGGGCAAGAAATTGTTGCACTTACCCGATCGGATTCCCGAAGATCGCGTCGAAGAGAAACGAAACGAAAATAAGAATTACTTAGATATGAATTGGATTTACGCTAATAATAATTCGAAAGATGTTACGTATGCGGTCGTTGATTGTAAAGGGGGCGTTTTAATTAATGAGTATTGGGGTGTTAAGTTAGAGATTCCGGAGGCGGCTATTAAGGCCGGTGTTGAGCAAGAGATTTATTTTGTTATTACGGATCCGAGGTTGTGTGAGAATTCGCCCCCGTTGGATTTAGAAAATGGTATGAAACTTTTTTGATTTTTTTTTTTTTGATCACCACCAGTGTACATACTTAAAAAATTAACTGTCATTTTTGTTTTTTTTAATTAACCAAATTCATTTTTATGCTTTTTTAGGCTTTTTTTACAATGACTTATTCTTTTTTAGGTGAAACCATGTTATCTCCTTTAGTTATGTGCGGACCTCAAGGTATAATTACATTTTTAATACTATCTTTCTTATATATTTATTTATTAAATTATTTTCTTTAGGTATTGAATTTAATAAGCCTGTAATATTACATATTCCACATTATGCGAATACATTGCCCAGTTTGAGTATAAGTTTAAAAGCAACGGATTCGGAATCAGACGTTCGCACTGATTGGGATAACATTTTGCTTCCATCCAATCATGCAGCGAATAGTGTAGCGGTTAAAGTCGATCATTTTTAACACTTAGTTTTATTAATTAACCCCTTAAGGACCATATATAGGACATATTTGCATGTATTTGATAAAAAATTGGTTCTTAAGGGGTTAATTTAAGCAAAATTCTTTCTTTTCAACTCTAAAAAAAATTAAAATGTGTAAATATCTTTTTAAAAATGTGATCTATTTTGTATATCAGGTTCCGATGAGTTCTTTATTTCAATGATATAGCTATTTTTTAAGCGATTATATTCTTTTTTATATTATAGGTTAAGTTTTAAATGTATTTTGTTCAATCAGATATCATCAGATCGTTTTTAAATAATATTATATTATCTTATAACATAAGAGTGCTCAGTTTTTTAATTAATTAAATAAATTTAAAGAAAATCTTTCTTTTATTGCAAAAAAAAATTTTGCCGAAACCCGGGATTGAACCGGGGACCTTTAGATCTTCAGTCTAACGCTCTCCCAACTGAGCTATTTCGGCTTACAACAAAAACGCCACCAATAAGTATAAATACTGCACAGTATAAAAATTGGTTCTCAACCTAACTAATATATATTAGTTTCGTTATTGAATAACAGATATCGCCACCGACTTAATTAAAAATTTTGATATGGTTTGCCCAAACAAAAATTTGTTTTCGCTAGAAAATTTAGTTTTATAATATTTTTATTTGATTCACCCGGTATAAAAATTTCAATAGCCGAGTTTCAAACCAATCAAAATTCGTATTAGTTTCGTTATTGAATCATAGATGTCGCTACCGATTTTATTAAAAATTATTTTATGTTGGTTTGTATCCCCGCTAAAAAAATTTTGTACAGGGTGACCCAAACAAAAATTTGTTTCCTCGTTTTCACAAGATACTTTTTCGATTTTATTTGAATCACCCGGTATAGAATTTTCATTAGTGGGGTTTTAAACCAATCAAAATTCGTATTAGTTTCGTTATTGAACCATAGATGTCGCCACCGATTTTATTAAAAATTATTTTATGTTGGTTTGTATCCCCGCTAAAAAAATTTTATACCGGGTGACCCAAACAAAAATTTGTTTTCTCGTTTTTACAAGATACTTTTTCGATTTTATTTGAATCACCCGGTATAAAATTTTTATTAGTGGGGTTTCAAACCAATCAAAATTCGTATTAGTTTCGTTATTGAATCATAGATGTCGCTACCGATTTTATTAAAAATTATTTTGTATTGGTTTGTATCCCCGCTAAAAAATTTTATACCGGGTGACCCAAACAAAAATTTGTTTTCTCGTTTTCACAAGATAGTTTTTCGATTTTATTTGAATCACCCGGTATAGAATTTTCATTAGCCAAGTTTCAAACCAATCAAAATTCGTATTAGTTTCGTTATTGAATCATAGATGTCGCTACCGATTTTATTAAAAATTATTTTGTGTTGGTTTGTATCCCCGCTAAAAAAATTTTATACCAGGTGATCCAAACAAAAATTTGTTTTCTCGTTTTTACAAGATACTTTTTCGATTTTATTTGAATCACCCGGTATAGAATTTTCATTAGTGGGGTTTCAAACCAATCAAAATTCGTATTAGTTTCGTTATTGAGCCATAGATGTCGCTACCGATTTTATTAAAAATTATTTTGTGTTGGTTTGTATCCCCGCTAAAAAAATTTTATACCGGGTGACCCAAACAAAAATTTGTTTTCTCGTTTTCACAAGATAGTTTTTCGATTTTATTTGAATCACCCGGTATAAAATTTTCATTAGCCGAGTTTCAAACCAATCAAAATTCGTTTTAGTTTTGTTATTGAATCATAGATGTCGCTACTGATTTTATTAATAATTATTTTGTGTTGGTTTGTATCCCCGCTAAAAGAATTTTATACCGGGTGATTCAAACAAAAATTTGTTTTCTCGTTTTCACAAGATACTTGTTCGATTTTATTTGAATCGCCCGGTATAAAATTTTCATTAGTCGGGATTCAAACCAATCAAAATTCGTATTAGTTGTGTTATTGAATCATAGATGTCGCTAATGATTTTATTAAAAATTATTTTGTTGGTTTGTATCCCCGCTAAAAAAATTTTATACCGGGTGACCCAAACAAAAATTTGTTTTCTCGTTTTCACTAAATCATTGTTCGATTTTATTTGTATCACCCGGTATAAAAATTTCCTTTCATTCGAGTTTAAATCCCAAATTCACAATTAATTTAGCAATTGAATAATAGATGTCGCCCAAAATTTTATTAAATTTATGTATCAATGACTAATTTAAACAATTTTAAATGAATAAATGACGGGTTAAAAAGAAAAACAGCTTTGATTTATATAAATTAATGAATATATTTCGTTTGACACATAAAATTCATTGAAATGTATTTATACCATCGTAAACTTAAAAAAAATCAAAATGTACTCAATAAAAACTCGAGGGAGAGATATACAGCGTTTTGATTGATACATACATTATATCTCAACAGGTAAAAACACACAAAAAGAAAAATTAAAATAATTTGCGCATAAAAGACCATTATTATTGATCTTTACAACGTTCAATGAGATCACAAAATTATAATATTTAAATATAATATAGTATCCGTGTGATAATAATAATAATAACTAGAGTAGTTCATCTTAATTAATTTAATTACAATTAATTAATATTAATAACAACTCGTTCATTTTAATTTTTTTATCAATTTTGTTGTTATTTCGGTGTAAAACGTACCGGATAGTATTAATATATTGCTAAAATTTGGCAGTAATATTTTTTGAATGATTTTAATTACAATTTCAAAATAGGAACTAGTCCTTTTCCCTTTTAAACGCAATTTAAAACAATGCCCTAATGAGATCATTTGGACTACTTACAAAGAAAATCGTTTTCCGGCATTTTTCACACAAACAAAATCAAATTAACAAAATTAATTGACACGCTCAACTTTCTGATATGGTTATTGAATTATTTTAACAAGGTAATACAGTGAAATTCACCTAATTCGAACTTCTACATTTCGAATCATTGAAGTAGACAAGTAAACTGTCAAAATTGACATTTAATACCAACTTAAATTTTTTTTGGTAAATAATATTCCAATTGGGCAAATTTCACTGTAATAAAACTAGGAAAACAAAATAATTAATTTTAAACAAATTAAAAATGTTATATACCTTAATTTTTTATAATTAGTTGGTTTAAACTAACCTCTAACATATTCTTTTTTAATCATCTTTTTACAAATTGGTGTATGGCGTTTATTTTTAAAATTTATTATAATTAATTCATATTTTCTTGGAGTTTCAATTTATTTTTTATTATATTAATAATCACTGGTCTACGTTACACCTACTTTTATTCTTACTCAAGAATACCCCAGATTTACACCAAACCACCTCATAATTGCATCCTACCGTAAATTCAATCTTTCTTTAATTTTAATAATTGATTGTAACGCGTTTTTACCTGAGTTTTTTTCTTTCATTCCCTTATTCTTTCGATACAAGTTAATTTTTAATTAAAAATTGGTTCAGAAAAAACATTCTTTTTAATTTTTTTTTGCAATTATGAAGCTTTCTTTACATTTTAACGCTGCACATTCACCCCAATATAAATTTTCTTCACAAAATTTTATATTTTCTTTGTTAAAGTAATCTCAATTTAATAAGGTTAGTTTTCTTTATAAAATGTGACGTTTCAGAAACGTCAATTTAATTTTTATCTTTGAATCATTTTTATTAAAAAAATACGTTTTCAAAAAAATAATTCATTTCGAGATATCTTTTAATTAAAATTAAATTTGATTTTTTGTTAAAAAGTAATTAATTAATAAAATTATTTCATTAAAAAAGCGTGAAGTTAGGTAATTTTAAAATTAGTACTCATAGATGGCGCTAGTGGTTGATTTTTTTTAATCTTCTTAATTCCTTCCGTTTAATTAATTTAATAATAATCAATTAGAATTATTCATAAAATTAAAGAGTGACAATAAATGATTATAATAATATTGATGATCTATAATAATCGCAATAATAATGAACGTTTTTCGAACTGTCACTAAATTTGACATAAATGTCATCGAGATCGATTTTAACAAAGAAAATTTAAAATTAATTTTTTTTTATATCAATCGTATTTTATACAATATTAATTTACATAATAGCAAGTTTGTACTTTCCTCCTTTTTCAATAGTAGTTTTTTTTATATATTAATTAATTAATTATACAATAATAATATAAATAACTTCTTAACGATAAAAGTCTGAATATAAATTAAAAAACAAGCAACGTTTATAACAACAATCTTTAGAGTCTCTTTTAAAAAAATTATTTTGAGCCCCTTCCATTATTATTCGAGTCTCAAAATCATTTTTCCCCTTTTTCTATATACACAGCCCCAATTTAATAATTTCCCTTTTTTCGAATTAAAGATTTGTACAAAAAAAATTAAATTAATCAGTAGAGATTATCGCAACACGATAACCCCTTTTCTTAATTCTCACTCAGGAGCAGTTTTTTCTATATCCTCAATCTCTTTCGATGGCTGATTTAATTCTCTTTGGTTATCTTCAACATCTTTCTCATTATCAATATCTTCCACATTCTCTATTTTTATTTCTTCTTTAGATTCAATTAATTTCTCCTCATCACGATTTTCATTTTCTTCATCCACTTTCTCATCTTCTTCCTTAATAATTAAATCATCATCGTTCTCCACAACTTTTTCCTCAACCACTTCTTTATCATTATTTTTAATTTCATTCTCTAAAACCTCGACTTTTCGCGTTAATTCCTCAATACGTTCATCTTTGCTTTGAATTAATTTAATTTTTTCCTCATATTTCCCATTTAATTTCGCAAAAATCTCAAAAACTTGATTTCTAATAACATCATCGACCGTTTTTAATATTTCACTTAATTCCTCGCAATTTGGTCCATAATTAATCAACGTTTTTGTTTCTAACTCAGACCCTGAATCTTCCGTATCTGTCGAAAGCTCAATTTCCGAATTATAACGATTATTACTATTCAAATTTGATTGTACCACAACGGAAACGGTCGAATCGATTAAATTTTGCGAATCAGGCGACCTATCCAAATCTTTTTCGTGCTTAATCACCGAAATTTCTTTCGAAAAACCGTTCTCTTTCGTTGAACTAACATTGTTTTCGTTTAAATCGTTTATTTTATTCACTTCCTCGTTATTATTATTGAGTTGTTTTAAATAGCGGTACTTTTTAGGTGGAGGTGCCAAACTCACGTTTGGTTGATAACTCGATTTAAAATCTCCTTTGTATTGTCGCTTAAAATCGTTTTTGAAATCATCTCGGGTTTGATATTGCAATAAATTCTCGTATTTATTCGTTTTTAATTTAACCAAATCCTTCTGTATCGGTTTAAAAGCTGATCTCGGATGCAAACAATGATAAACGTGCGTTTCCATTAACGGCATTGAAAATACGTAATCGTCGAGGATGTGTTTCTTGAGCGAAATCTCTTCTAATTTTAATTCTGGAACGTTCGAATGCATCTGAAATTAAAGAAAAAAATTTTATTTACTTAATAACCTAAAATATTATGACATTTAAAGCGTCATTACGAAGTTGGTTACAAAACAATAAGGGGTACCAACCTCTAAATATAATAAATAAATATTTAAAGAGAATTGATTTTAATAAATAAAGATGTAATAAGTTAGAGTTAAAAGACAAAGAAAACGAGATGAAAGACAAAGATGGAAAAACGAATGAGAATAAGAAGATGAAAAAAGTTCGTTGAAGCTCGAAGAAAACCCGTTCTTCGTTCGTTGTGTATGTTGTGTATGCTACAGCTACGCGTAGCACGATTTCCGGGTTTTCGAGAAAGAAGAGGAGGTGGGTCGATGAAGGAATTTCTTTGTAAATGGTGTGGAAAAGTCTATGACAAGTAAACTGTCAAAATTGACAGTTAATACCAACTAGAAATTTTTTTGCTAAATTTAGCTCCAAATAAAGTTGTAAATCGAAATTTTATAACAATTAATAATGTTTAATGATATTAAAGATGAATACGAGATATAAATAAGCTATGAATTTAAATTGTCAGAAATATAAGAAGAAAAGTTTAGTATTCAACCAAATGGTGGAGGCTTTTCTACTGGAATTTTGCATCGTATAGATCTTGCTTCTTAGACATAAACACACGTTCAATAGAAATGGTTAAGAAATTCGTCGCTACTTACATAGAAGCTGCTTTCTTTATGCCTACCTTTTGATAGCCAAGTCTTGAAACATATTGACGTCTCTGAATTAACTAAAAGCGTAGTATGTTGTTTATTTGAAGAAGTTTTTAACGATATTATGACCCAAACGAGAAATAAATTAAACTTTGTGATACATTGGATTTCAAGTTACAATTGACGTTTCAACATTGTGAACTTGTCGCTTTAGGAAACGTTCTAAAATTTCGAATATGCCGATTTACGTCAATTTGAAACTATGAATTAAACGCTTCGAAATCTTGTTTTTGACATTTTAAATACCTTGGAAATTAACGTTTGAGATTCGAAATTAAATTTTGAATTTAGCGTTTTAGTTGAAACATTGATTTAAAGTAAAAAATGACATTTTAACATTTTGAATGTTCCCTTTAGGCGACGTTCTAAAATTTCGAATATGCCTTTCATGTCAATTTGAAATTATGAATTAATCGCTTCGAAATCTTGTTTTTGACGTTTTAAATAATATCTTGGAATTTACCGTTTTAGATTCAACATTTTAAATAAAATTAAATAAATTAATGTTAAAAATGAACATTTTGAATGTGTCCCTTTAGGCCACGTTCTAAATTTTCGAATATGCTACTTTACGTCAATTTGACATTATGAATTAATCGCTTCAAAATCTTGTCTTTGACGTTTTAAATACCTTAGAATTTGATGTTTGAGGTTCGAAATGACATTTTGAATTTAACGTTTTATTTGAAACATTAATTTGAAGTTAAAAATAACATTTCAACATTTTGAATGTATCCCTTTAGGCGACGTTCTAAAATTTCGAATATGCCGCTATATGTCAATTCGAAATTATGAATTAATCGCTACAAAATCATGTTTTTGACGTTTGAAATGATATCTTGGAATTGAACGTTTTAGATTCAACATTTTAAATAAAATTAAGTAAATTAAAGTTAAAAATGAACATTTTGAATGTGTCCCTTTAGGCCACGTTCTAAATTTTCGAATATGCCACTTTACGTCAATTTGACATTATAAATTAATCGCTTCAAAATCTTGTCTTTGACGTTTTAAATACCTTAGAATTTGACGTTTGAGGTTCGAAATGATATTTTGAATTTAACGTTTTAGTTGAAACATTAATTTGAAGTTAAAAATAACATTTCAACATTTTGAAAGTATCCCTTTAGGCGACGTTCTAAAATTTCGAATATGCGGCTTTATGTCAATTCGAAATTATGAATTAATCGCTGCAAAATCATGTTTTTGACGTTTGAATTGATATCTTGGAATTGAACGTTTTAGATTCAACATTTTAAATAAAATTAAGTAAATTAAAGTTAAAAATGAACATTTTGAATGTGTCCCTTTAGGCCACGTTCTAAATTTTCGAATATGCCACTTTACGTCAATTTGAAATTATGAATTAATCGCTTCAAAATCTTGTCTTTGACGTTTTAAATACCTTAGAATTTGACGTTTGAGGTTCGAAATGATATTTTGAATTTAACGTTTTAGTTGAAACATTAATTTGAAGTTAAAAATAACATTTCAACATTTTGAATGTATCCCTTTAGGCGACGTTCTAAAATTTCGAATATGCCACTTTACATCAATTTGAAATTACGAATTAATCGCTTGAAATCATGTTTTTGACGTTTGAAATGATATCTTGGAATTTAACGTTTTAGATTCAACATTTTAAATAAAATTAAGTAAATTAAAGTTAAAAATGAACATTTTGAATGTATCCCTTTAGGCCACGTTCTAAAATTTCTTTACGTCAATTTGACGTTTTAGATGAAACATTGATTTCAAAGGTATTATTTGGAGATTTGAATCATATCATGACGCCCCCAAAAATCCAAAAAGCAAGTAGTCGCAGCAGCAGCAACAGCCGCGGCACATTGTACACACAAGTGCGTTCACCTTTTAAGAGGAGAGACACACACACAACAACACAAGGTGAAGGGGACAGCGACGACCGACAGTCGGTTCTCTTTCTTCTTCTTCTTTCTTCGGGGGGCCTTCAGCGACTACTATTACTACGTCGTCGATCCGGTTCCGTTCCGTTCGAGTCTAGTCGGTCGAGCAGACGGCCGAAGAGACGGCAAATATCTTCTCTTTCATTTTATCTTTATCTCTTTTTATTTACTTCAAATTCGTAATATTCTTCTAGCATACTACTTCTTGTATGGTGTCTATTGCGTCGAGTTGGACACTTGCGAATTCGTTTGCAAAAAATCTTGAATAACTGGTTGAAGGGGCTTCTCCTCTTCAAATCTTTTCTTCTCGTATCGTCGCGGTTCCTCTTTTATATTCAGCAAATTCGATTATGTGCGTAAGGATTAAGATAAATCCAGTTCTTTTTAAATTAACGGATCTTTTAAAGATTTTAAATTTGTAAAAAAATGTTTAATATTGAAAAGGGGTAAATTTGTCGCACACAACACTGCAAACAGGATTAAGAAAAAAAAATAATAGAATTAGTCACACTCATTAGCTCCCTTTGCATTTTTATTTCTTTTCCCCTTATGCAACTCTTTCCCAGAAGTCATTTCATATCAACGATCATTCTTTCCGTTCTCATTTGAAACGTTGAAACGAGGGGGGCCGCCCGTCACTCAAAATTGCGAGAGGGAACGACCACCAAACCAATTCATTTTAATCTATTTTGACCGCACCACGTTCTAGTTTGTAGGGTAATAGGAAAAAATAAAAAAAGAGAAAAGAATAAAAACGTACGATAATAATTTGAATTACCTTTCTTTCAAACGTCAATCACACCTGGGGTGGCTATTCCCCCTAACGGTGCTCTCTTACTATTCTAAACATTTAAACGTCATTGTTTGTTTGTCAATTACACACTTAAATAGGTGTTTATGAGCGAGTTTCTATTCAAAATACTTTCTTTATTATTTAAAACAATAAATAAACTATTATCATCTTGAAGTACATTTTGACGTTTCACATGACAATTCAACAATGTGAATTTGTCGCTTTAGGAAACGTTCTAAAATTATTAAATTATGAAGTAAATGTTTCGAAATCTTGTTTTTGACGTTTTAAATACCTTGGATTTTGACGTTTCGGGTTTGAAATGACATTTTGAATTTAACGTTTTAGATGAAACATTAATTTGAAGTTCAAATTAACTTGAACTTGTCGCTTTAGGCAACGTTCTAAAATATCGAATATATACGTCAATTTAAAATTATGAATTAATCGCTTTGAAATCTTGTTTTTGACGTTTTAAATGTTACAATTTGACGTTTGAGGTTCAAAATGATATTTTGAAGTTAACGTTTTAGTTGAAACATTAATTTGAAGTTAAAAATGACAAATTCAACTATTTGAACTTGTTGCTTTAGGAAACGTTCTAAAAATCGAATATACTGCTTTACGTCAATTTGACATTATGAATTTATCGCATCGAAATCTTGTTTTTGACGTTTTAAATATGTTACAATTTGACGTTTGAGGTTCGAAATGCCATTTTAAATTTAACGTTTTAGTTGAAACATTGATTTACGTTAAAAATGACATTTCAACATTTTGAATGGATCCCTTTAGGCGACATTCTAAAATTTCGAATATGCCTTTTATATCAATTTGAAATTATAAATTAATCGCTTTGAAATCTTGTTTTTGACGTTTTAAATACTTTGGAATTTGACATTTGAGGTTCGAAATGACATTTTGAATTTAACGTTTTAGTTGAAACATTAATTTGAAGTTAAAAATGACAAATTCAACAATTTAAACTTGTCGCTTTAGGAAACGTTCTAAAATAACGAATATACCGCTTTCCGTCAATTTGACATTATGAATTAATCGCATCGAAATCTTGTTTTTGACGTTTTAAATATGTTACAATTTGACATTTGAGGTTCGAAATAACATTTTGAATTTAACGTTTTAGTTGAAACATTAATTTGAAGTTAAAAATGACAATTCAACAATTTGAACTTGTTCCTTTAGGCAACATTCTAAAATATTGAATATGCATCAATTTGAAATTATGAATTAATCGCTTCGAAATCTTGTTTTTGACGTTTTAAATACCTCTGAATTTGACGTTTGAGGTTCAAAATGACATTTTGAATTTAACGTTTTAGTTGAAACATTAATTTAAAGTTAAAAATTACAAATCAACATTTTGAATGTATCCGTTTAGGCGACGTTCTAAAATTTCGAATATGCCGCTTTATGTCAATTCGAAATTATGAATTAATCACTTCCAAATCTTGTTTTTGACGTTTTAAATATCTTGTAATTGAACGTTTGAGGTTCGAAATGACGCTTTGAATATAAAG